TGCTTTTGGAGTCCACAGAGATAGGACCCGGGCCAACAAAACATCTCTGCCTATTGAAAGCACTCCCAAACACCGCAATGGCTGCGAAAGGCTGAACCACACCAAACCAGATACTCCCTCTCTGCATGGTCTTTGAAGGGAGTGGAGATACTATGAAAACAATTCACTACCGAAGCTTTTCCTGGTGCCAACCTTGCTTTCTAGTTTCTGAAGTTACATTATATATATATATATATATATATATTTTTTTTTTTTTAAGGTGCCCTGTGTCTTCACCAGAGAGAAGGGAGAAAGAATCTTGGTTGATTCTCTGTCTGTGGCAAAGGCAAGATCTATCTTATCACTTTCAGTCCATTTAGCAACCCTGCTGTCTGAGGACTTCACAGAGGAGGAAGCTAGGCTCTGAAGGGTGATGGAATTTGTCTGTAGTCGCGCATGTGTCAGCCACAGACCCAGATCTCTCTGGTTTCCTTTGCTTTGTTGACTACTTTGTTGATATGAAACAACTGGCTTGCCAGTGAAAAGTAGTAACAATCATAGGATAACACCCTTAACATCTGTGTGGCTCTCTACAGTATACAAGATGCCTTTCCATTGCTGGGGCCCGGCCCAGCGTGGAGATCGGCCCCCTCTGCCCTGCTTCTCCCTGACTCCACCTTGCCAGTCCCAGACTGCGCGTGTCCCCAGCTGAGCTGGTTCTCACTCCCTTTTGCAGACATGCTCCCTTGGTAGGTGACTTCACTGGAAGCCTGTCTACTGATTCAGGGTGACAGGCTGTGCCAAAGCCCCAGCCCTCGTGGGGCTCATAAATCCTGAGGTGGTAGGCGCTAGAGAGGTGCAGCTCAATGACAGTAAATTTGGCCTGTCTCTCGGTTTCACCCAGGGCCAGCCCTGACTGATGCTGAGCAAAGTGTCAGTGATGAAGGACTTGTCAACGCTGCCTGGCTTCCTTCCTCACCTGCCGTCAAAGGTGGACTTTTGTCCAAAGCTCTTTAATTTGGGAATTAGGTCTTACATGTAACTGCCAAGTTAAATTGGACCCAAGAGTGAATTTGGATCTGCATTGAAGAGGGAGTGGAAATTAGTAAGTTCTGGGATGCCCTGGGCTTAGCACATAATCATAATTACAAAGACTGATGCTTTGAGCTCTTGCTGCTGGCCAGCTGTGTGCTAAGTGCTTCTTCACTCGATCAGCTTCTTACTTCACAACCCGGTCAGATACAGGCGATTTGTGCCCAGAGAAATGAGACACTAGGAGATGATGTGATTTGCCCAAGATCCCACAGCTGGCAGTGGAGTCACTGGCATTTGAATTTGTACAGTCTGTATTGCCAGAATGGCTGCTGACCTCTCCAAGACCATGTGGGAGGTTTTCAACGAGGCCTGAAGCTCCGTGGAGTTCCTGGCATCTGGGGAGGCCTCCATTTAGATCCAAGCCTTGGGAGAAGCCCCAGGACAAAGCAGCTTCTAAGGACCACATGGGGTGTGTTGGGGGCAGCCCGTCATGAGTCCTGAAGCCCAGCTGATTTTCTCTCTTTCTTTTCCTTCCTCCCAAATCCTTTCTGCCTTGCCTGCCATCCATTCTAGCTCCTAGGAAAATGCTAGAAATGCTGAATCTTCAATTCCAGTTGATTCCAACTGATAACACTTCATTGGAGTTTTGTTTATTTGAAGATCATTAGTGACAAGAATGTAGCAGTCTCCGCTCCGAAGGACCATATCCAAGCACACTTTTTTATCTTGACTTTGAGTCCCAACCTGGACTCCAGCCTACAGCCTCTGGTAGGCAGATTATCCTGTGCTCACCCTTGTCTTGGCAGCACAATCACATGCTCGTTCTGTGCGCTTGTCTTTTGGGCCCCAGTATACAAGAAATGGGCTTAATTGAAACTGTAAGTGAATTTGTCTGGAACACAGAAAACACTCAACAGCACATCTCACTCTGACAGACACTGTCAATCTAATTAGAGGCCTTGAATTATTAAAGCTCCCTAGTCACTTAGAGCTGCAGGTCACCAAGGCACCGAACACACTTGCCTGAGTGGCACTGGATTAGGAAGCAGTGGGCTCACAGCCAGCTGTTACTGTGGGCCCCCCAAATTTGTTTGATCACCGCTCTTCTCAGTCATGAAATCCCACCCTCCTTTCCCAGACCGGATCCTGCTGACAGAGCCCTGAACTGGCTCGGGTCCTGGCTTGTGGTCCTACCTCTGGAGTTCACTCTGGGGGTTTTGGCCAATCCTTTTTCTTCATGGTACCTCCATATTCCCACCTGTATTGTGTGGCTACAAATATTTGCTTAGGATCATTTTAGCAGCTGTGAAGTGTCCTGGGAACTCTGAATGAAAGGCGCTCTATTCCAGCTTATGAACCAAGTGATGATTCTGGCCCTGTCCACATGGCAGGGCTCTGCAGGAGAGAGACTGGACCCATTCATCCTTCATACAGTCCTAATTTTATTCCAGTGCCTCACTGTGGGCTGAGGCAGCAGGGCTTGTCAGAGAACTGAGCCGTCTTCACACTTTCAAAGTCCCTTCTATTTGGTAGGGTTGCTTTTTTTCCTTTTTTTTTTTTTTTCCTTCATTGCATATTAGCAAAGGTAAAATCTACCATGCAAGAAAAGGAACAATCATGAAAGGAGAAAGGCCTTCTCGAGGGAGAGCTGCTTCTTAGATCTTTGGAAGGTCCAGAAGGTCATTTGCCTGAGGCCAGGATTTATACTATTAGCATGGTGGGCACATCCGGGGCCCACCCTGCGTAAATATCAGGGTGCCATTTTTACGTTTATTTTTACATATGTGTGTGTCTTGTTTCAGGGTGCCCATGGTGCAAGAGAGCACAGCTGAGAATCAATAGGATAATATGTCCAGGGCCTGCTAGTGATGAATGTGGGTGTTTTGGCCCATCTGGGCTGCCACAACAAAGTACCCCATAGACTGGGTGACATGCAAACAACCGAAGTTTATTTCTCCCAGTTCTGGAGTGTGGAAGTCCAAGATCAAGGTGTCAGCATGGTGAGGGCCCTTTCCAGGTTGCACACTGCAGACTTATCCTCACATGGTGGAATGAGCGTGAGAGAGCGCTCTGGGGTCCCTTTTATAAGAGCACCAATCCTATTCCTGAGAACTCCACCCTCATTACCTCCCAATGGCTTTACCTCCTAATCCCATCACATAGTAGGTTAGGGTTTCAGCATATGAATTTTGCAAGGACACTAACATTCAGTCCATTGCACTGAGTATTTTTGCTTCTTCAAAATGACTCCATTGTTGCAACCTATAATTGTGCATCTGTCTTGAGGCAAAAATAGCAGGTCTTAGAGCTGGAATCTCCAGCTTCCCGGAATCCTGGGCCCCTCTACCTACCTCTCTAACACTTCCCCTCTAGGAGCACTTACTTACAGAACATTGAGGCTCTGCTCACTGTCTCCTGAATCCATTTCTGCTCCTTCTTCTTTGAACTCCTCACTAGCCCCAGGGGCCAGGTATCCCATCCAGATATCATCCCCAGCTGCAGATATCTGAGAAACTCTGCAGTCACTCTCTCCCTCAGGGATAAAGTCTTCACTCCCAATAGGTCTTCAATCACCATGGTTTCCAATCTCACTCTTCTTCTGGGTATGCAGAGCATGGCTTCCCATTACTTTCAAAGGGAAGTGCAAATGTCTTATGCAAATTTACTGTATTAGTTTGCTCTCACGCTGCTAATAAAGACATATCTGAGACTGGGTAATTTATAAGGGAAAAGAGGTTTAACAGACTCGCAGCTCTACACGGGTGAGGAGGCCTCACAATCATGGCAGAAGGAGAAGCAAAGGCATATCTTACATGGTGGCAGGCAAGAGAGAAGTGCCAAGCAAAATGGGGGAAAACCCCTTCTAAAACTTATAAAACCATCAGATCTTGTGAAAACTCACTCACTATCATGAGAACAGTAGCATGGGGGTAATCGCCCCCATGATTCAATTATCTCCCACTGTGTCCCTCCCACAACAGTGGGAATTATGGGAACTACAATTCAAGATGATATTTGGGTGGGGCACAGTCAAACCATATCACTTACCAAGGCCTTACATGATCTAGTCTGTGTCTTCCTGTTTGACTTAATTTTTCCCCTTATTCACTTCTTTGCTTATCAAATCCAGCCACATTGTTCTCTTTCCCGTCCTTCAAACTCATCCAGGTTCATTCCCACTTTAGGGTTTTGTACGTGTTCTGGTCTCTCTACTCAGTATACTCTGCCCACGAAAATTGGCATGCTGGCTTCTTCTTGTCATTCAGATCTTTGTTTAAATGTCATATTCCCAGAGCTAATTCCTTGAGCATTTCTAAAATAGCCCTTCCCTCTCAGTCACTTACATCTTATACAGCTAATTGTCTTCAGACATTTAAGATCATTGACAATGATTGATGCTATATGAGCTATCTTTTTTCCTCCAATAGTGGAATACGGATTCTATGAGTAGAAACTTTGACATTTTCCCTGCTATATCCCTAACACTATGGAATATATATGGCACTTGATGGTTGCTCTATAAACACTTGTTAGATGACTCAATGAATGAACAAACTAGAAATATTTGTTATGGACTATAAGAGGTTGCCAGTGAACTTCACCTTGCAAACCTCATAGTCTTTAGTATTGGCCCTAGAAGTCTCATCAGGATCCCATGTCCAACCGTAGAAGGCCATAGTGTTGGGTCTGGGCTGGGTTGCAGTGTCCCAGTCACCTAGGCTTTGTGGTGCTTAGCTGTGGCTAGTAGAACAAGGTACCAAGGGTGAGCCAAGAAGCAACCTCCAAAACTTATCAGAAAGTCCAACCTGGCTGCTGCTTCTTGTAGGATAGGCAAAGTGTGAAGATCTTGATATGAAGCATAGGATATAAACTGGGGAAACTAAACCAGAGTTCCAGCCTGGAGGAATTCCCAGAGCCATGGGAACATGGTTGTAGAAAGCCCCTATAGTTTTGGGTGAGCTGGTGAAGGAGCAGTTAGACTTACTTGGTTCAGGCACACAATGATCTTCAGTCCTTCTCTTGAAGGCATGAGCTGGCTGCAGTTGCACTTTGCTGTGCTGGAGAGGAGCTGATGTCAGAGACTGACAATGGGTCAGGGGCTGGGTGGAGAGTATTCATTGCTGATTAAGTATTTCTTGATACTGAATGAGAGTAGATTTAGTGGAGGGGAAGGGAAGACCACAGAAAGACCACCAAAGAGATTATTCTACAGTCCAGAAAGGAGAGGACAAGAGCTAGTGATGGCAGAAGGGAGGAAGAGAAAGAGATTCATGCAAGAGAATTACTAATGCAAAATGTGCAAAATGTAAATTCAATCAGATTAGGCCAATGGAATAAGGAAAAAGAAAGACGCCATGAAGCCCAGGAGGACCTGAGCATGCTCAGCATTGTAGAGGGTGTTGTGTGCCTTGATTAAGTGAAAGACAGCAAGGGAGAGGCACGCGAGGGCAGGGAAATGTGCTTTACCTCTGGACAGGCTGATGTGACCAGCTCATTGGGACTCCAGAGAGATTTTTTCCAAAAGTAGCTGGAAATACAGGCCTACAGCACAAAAGCCCTACAAGCCAGGTGAATGCCTGGAAGAATAGAAGGAATTACATTATTTAAAGTAAAATGGGCCAGGCATGGTGGCTCATGCTTATAATCCCAGCACTTTGGGAGGCCAAGGTGGGCGGATCACTTGAGGTCAGGAGTTCAAGACCAGCCTGGCCAACACGGGGAGACCCCATCTCTACTAAAAATACAAAAATTATCCAGGTGTGGCGTGCCTGTAATCCCAGCTACTCCAGAGGCTGAGGCAGGAGAATCACTTGAACTGGGGAGACGGAGGTTGCAGTGAGTTGAGATGGCTCCACTGCACTCCAGCCTGAGTGACAGAGCAAGACTCCGTCTCTAAACAAAACAAAATAAAACAAGCAAACAAACAAAAAGTAAAATGGGGCTTTTGAAAGTAACCAAGAATTCTAGTAGAGGGAGGGGAAGCCAGGAGGACATTTTTAACTTGAATAAAAACTAATGCTAATGAAGGGAAAGCTTGAAGCTGGAGGATGGTTTCTTATTCAAATGCAGTTTCGGATTGAATTATTTAAACTGTAGCATGTGATTTCAGAAATCAGCTGTCTTTTTGCTTTACAAAGAGAACTCAGGAGTGTCGTGAGAGTCAGAAGCCTAGGAACCAAACCCCCAAAGGGGCCAGACCAGGAAAACCTAGCTCTCCCCAGTACAAAGGGGAAAGCGCTCCTGTTCAGTGCTGCTTTCTGCACCACAACCACCTGTGAGGAGCACTCCGTGCAGGTAATTCTGAAAGCGCCATACGAAAGAAAGAATCACATGTTATTAATCATAAATGCGAAAGCAAAAACAAATGAAGGTTTCTCCTTGCCTTCAAATGAAGACAACCAAAAGCATCAGAGGTGAAAACAAGACAGACACGATATGAAGATTGAAAACCAGATTATACCCTAGGGAGCACGTATAAAATTAAGAAAATAATAACTGACTATGAGACGCAGATCATAGAATAAAAGGAGTCCCAAAAGAACCTTCCTTCCACAATAGAAACAAACAACAACTTAAAAATGTGAAGAAAGTGGGTCGGACACAGTGGCTCATGCCTATGATCCCAGCACTTTAGGAGGCTGAGGCGGGCGGATCACTTGAACTCAGGAGTTTGAGACCAGCCTGGGCAACATCTCTATTAAAAATACAAAGTGAGCCTGGTGTGGTGGTGGGTGCCTGTAATCCCAGCTACTCGGGAGGCTGAGGCAGGAGAATTGCTTGAACCCAGGAGACGGAGGTTGCAGTGAGCCGAGATCACGCCACTGCACTTCCAGCCTAGGCAACAGAGTGAGACTCCGTCTCAAAAATAAAATGAATAGAATAGAATAGAATAGAATAGTGATATTTCATAAGCTGGTGTTACATCAATGAGAGAATATTATCAAGGTAGCCTTGGGTCCTTCTCCCTGAGTTCTTACAATAAGCCCCAGGTCAGGGTTACAAATATCAAGCAAAGGGAATACTAGGGAGGTAGGGTAAGGCTACAAGTCAGGGCTGATAGTAAAAAGATGGTCATGTAGAGCGAGGCAGGTGGGAAGTAGGGCAGGTCTTAGCTAAGAACTTCAGAGGAAGCCTCTCAGATCAGACCCAAGGCTACAGGGTAAGAATCGACTGCAGAGACGGGAGCTGCTGGCTTTCCGAGACTGCAGCTTCTGGTGCTGCCTCTTGGACTAGTTCCCACATTACAGGTTACCTACAGCTTCCCCCAGAAAAGAACATTTTCCTTTTGAAATATAGGACAAAGACTATTTCTTGGAGGGCCTCCAGGCAATGTGGACCAGGAAATAGGAGATTTGCTGGTCAAATCAACCTTGAGAAAGGCTGGATTCAAATAACCTTCTTTGATTTCTCGGTGACCATTGAATTCTCAGTATATGAAAGGCCCTCCAAAGTCCTGCTTTTATTTATTTATTTATTTAGAGACAGAATCCTGCTCTGTCACCCAGGTTGGAGTGCAGTGGCGTGATCTCGGCTCACTGCAACTTCCACTTCTTGGGTTCAAGTGAGTCTTCTGCCTCAGCCTCCCATGTAGCTGGGATTACTGGCACTCACCACCACACCAGGCTAATTTTTGTATTTTTAGTAGAGATGGGGTTTCACCATGTTGGCCAGTCTGGTCTTGAACTCCTGACCTCAAGTAATCCCCCCTGCATTGGCCTCCCAAAATGCTAGGATTCCAGGTGTGAGCTACCACCCCCAGGCAAAAGTCCTGCTTCCACAAAACACACTTTATCTTCCCTGCCTTGGGGTTATAATTTGTAACAATCACAATATTGGTCACGAAATTGGAGTTGGCTGATGTGATTGGCTATGCCCGTCTCTTCTTACTTCCATATTTCTGCTTTATAGTGAAGTTGAAGAGAGCAACTTTCTCAGAGGAGGGTATCTGAGCAATATGTATTCTGGCTAGAGCCTCTCAGCACACCCATGGAAAGCTACAGTACAAATTATCAATCTGTTTGTAGAGCACTCTGTGTTTTACAAAGCACTTTACTACTATTTATCATATCATAAATATGTAAATATGGTGCCTATGTAAATATATGTGCATAAAGTAAATGTGGAATATGACAGGAGTTGGAGGTAGCCGAGTCAATCGTATTCTAGAAGTGCAATAAAACAAGCTTGGTTCCTGCAAGGTGTCTGTCAGTTGGTTTCAGAAAGGTGAAGATTTGGGATAATTGGATCCCACTTTCTACAACAGTTTCCACCGGTTGAAAGCACACCTACGGCTTGCCCTGGGGGTGTTTTCCCCACCATCCCTTCTCAAGGTTCATTTCTAATTACTTCAATACCCCTAGGGTGCTGAGTGAACAGGTTCATTTAAATGGGAAGACCTAAAACTCTTGTTTTTCAGCTCCTTGCTGAGGTACCTGATGATTATCCCATCGCCAACAGGGGCAAGTCCAAATGCCTTTACATCCCTTCACAACGTCATCCCCCATCACTTTCCCTACATGCTGTGTTCCAGCTCCTTGGAACGGCCTCCCATTTCCTGAACAGGTTGCGCTTCCTCCGCTTCTCAACCCTCAACGTACACACCCTGCATTCTGTTCCTGGTTGCCCTTCTTTCCTTTCTCTACCTGCAAAACCCTCCCCAGCTCCCCAGGGCAGAGCTAGTTGCTTCTTCCCCTGGATCCCAGGGCCCTTTCTACCTAGGGGCCTCCAGTAGTGCCTAACGGCTTATAGATGATGCCCAGGAAACATTCATTGAGGGGAGGTCTCATGGAGCAGGAGACACATCTGCTCCCTCTTCACTTTCTGCCATTAGGAAAAGCTTCCGGAGGCCTCCTCCAAAACCCATGCAGGCACCGTGCTTCTTGCACAGTCTGAAGAACCATGAGCCACAATAAGCCTCTTTTCTATATGAATTACCCAGTCCTGGGTATTTCTTTATAGCAATGCAAAATAGACTAATACAAGGCATATGTAAATTTTTTTAAAATGCTTTTCTAAAGGAGCGTAGATTAAATGAAGATGAGGCCTGACAGGAAGAATGGTTCATTTAGGGACTGTCTTTTACTGTAGTGTCTCCAAATTTGACATTAAGACACAGGAAAGCATGCCACCAATTGCCAGCAGCCAATCAAGAGTGGTGGGAAGAGGTAGGAGCCAGAGCTGGCACTGGCTGGCTGGGGATGGTGGGACAGGCCTAGGCAAGTGGCTGCCAAGTATAATCTCTTTGGGGGAAGAGATATGATATGGTTTGGAGGTTTGTTCCCTTCAAATCTTATGGTGACATGTGACCCCCCAGTGTTGGAGGTGGGGCCTAGCAGGAGGTGTTTGGATTATGGGGGTGGACCCCTCATGAATGGCTTGGTTCCCTTGGTGATGAGTGAGTTCTCACTCTATTAGTTATTGATATTTGATTGTTAACAAGAACCTGGCACCTCCTCCCTCTCTCTCTTGCTCCCACTCTCACCGTGTGACACGTCTGCTCCCTCTTCACTTTCTGCCATTAGGAAAAGCTTCCGGAGGCCTCCTCCAAAACCCATGCAGGCACCGTGCTTCCTGCACAGTCTGAAGAACCATGAGCCACAATAAGCCTCTTTTCTATATGAATTACCCAGTCCTGGGTATTTCTTTACAGCAATGCAAAATAGACTAATCCAAGGCATATGTAATTTTTAAAAAAATGCTTTTCTAAAGGAGCATAGATTTAACGAGGATGAGGCCTGACAGGAAGAATGGATTCAAAGTAAGCCACATTGAATAGCAGAGGGAGGAAGAGATGGGGCAAAGGACTGTGCCCGGGCCCCGCCTGCTGGCAGGGCAGAGATCCCACTGCGGTGCTAGGGGCGCTCCTTGTCTCAGGGACAGGGCAGGGCTGAGGAGCAGGCTGAAGTCCCCCCCGCCCCAACCTACCCTCCATGGTAAAGGCAGGGAATTGTAGCCAGGTCTCCTGGAAGGCAGTACATGATTTGCTACTGGTTTTTCACATATTTTCCCAATCATTTCCTCTTCATGTTTAACCTTCTATTATTTGACTAAAATCTCTAAGAAAAGCTTACTTCCTTCTGAGCTCAGTCCGTCCTTGTTATCTTTTCTCAAAATTTCTGAACTCAAAGGGGCGGAAACCAGGTTTCCAGACATTCAGCTCAGCCAGGCAAACAGCCTCTAGTAATTCCAGGCAAGTGCAAAGACAAGCAGCAAATCGGGCAAACTGTAGAGGTTGCACCTGTTTTCTTTTTGAGAGTATCCTTATCAGAGAGCCAGAACTAGTCATTACATTGTGTTTGTTTGCGAACGTTGCTTTACCTTGCTGAGCTCAAAGTGCCCCCACGGACAAAAAAGGTCACAGACCACTGCAATTATCAGGGACTGCGGAGCGCGTTTCGTTCCTCCCACCTCATTTCACACGGTGGAAATTGATAGGGGGAAGGGGAAATTCAGATTACGACAGACTTGATAGAATTCTTTTGCTGTTTTCCTCTGGACAACTCAGGCTCAGTTTAAGGTCCTTTTAAAAAGCCACCATTTTCCGATTTGCTCCTTCAGAAACAGGGCAGCAAATATAAGGATGGGAACCGAAGTGAGAAAGGCACCCTGAAACAGCGGACACAAAAGAAGAGCGACTGATGGACTGCCCAAGCTCGGGTAGATAATCCCACTCTGAACCAATCCTCGCATAGAGGAAACACCATAAAATATTGATCTATGATCTATATTGAATTGCCCATTTCTTCTTAAAATATACTAATGGACAGATGCAGCGATACAGGTACATATCTTAATTGCTAATCCCATAAACATGACTGAGCATCCACTCTGTACTAAATCCACAGAGATTAAAGTCAGGATATAAATATGTATAATGAGAAGAACAAACATTTATTGAGAGCTACAATGTTTCAGGTGCTGGACCAAGTTATAACCTTAATAGTAACTACATTGAACCTTAATAGTAAGTACAATTGTTAGTCCATTTTATAGGTAAGGAAACGGAGACGAGGACGATGAAGTAGCTTGCCTGAGGTCACACAGCTGACAGGTGACAGTGCTGAGATTCTGAATTAGTTTAGCCTGAGTTCCTAATCATTCTGCCCCAGTGACCTCCATGAGACTAGATCCCTGGAACCTGTAGTAAAATGGGTGGCGCATAACCGAACCGAGTGCCAGTACCACGTGATAAAAACTTCAAATGGGAAAAGGGAAGACGGGATAAAGAACAGGGAGATTTGCTAAATGATACAAAATTACAGCTGGATAGGAGGCGTAAGGGCTATTGTTCTATAGCTCTGTAGGATGACTGCAGTTAATAGGAACATATACTTTCGAAGAGTTAGAAGGAGGATCTTGAAAGTTTCTAACACAAAGAAATGATAATGTTTGATGTGACAGATATGCTAATTACCCCGATCTGATCACCATATCTTCTATGTATCAAAAGATCACTGTGCACCCCATACATTTGTGCAATTATTATTTGTCAATAAAATAAAATAAAAAGGATTCCAAATGGGAAAAAAGAAAGAAAAAATTCACAGGGAAGGTAATGCTAGAAGCAGGCGCTTAAAGAATGAGGGAGGAGGCCGGGTGAGGTGGCTCATGCCTGTAATCCTAACGCTTAGGGAGGCTGAGGTGTGAGGATTACGTGAGCCAAGGGGATCGAGACCAGTCTGGATAACATAACAAGACTCCGTCTCTATTTTTAATATATATTTATATTATAAATTTTTTTTTGTTTTTAAAGAAAAAGAATGAGGGAGGAGATGTCCATTTGGAAACGAGTGGAGGAGAGGAAGCGCGCCTTAGGAATGCGGTTGAGATAACTAGGAACATCGTACCTGATGCTGTAGAAGAACCGAATGGTGCCAGGGTCAGACAAAACGTACCCCGGGGGCTCAGATGGTGGCCTCAATCCAGCTGAAGAGAGAGACCAATCTCCATGCAATCAGGATGAAGAGCTGTAGACCACAGGGTGAAAATTGCTGTTGGCCATCCGAGCTCAACCTTCATGGAGACTGGCGCACCGCTGCCCTCTCAGGTCACCAGCTGGACGCTGCCCTGGAGTAGACTGCATGGGAGGGTTGTGCAGGGTAGGGACACAGCCAAATGGAGCTGCCAAGAACCAGAGAAATTACTGAAGATGGTGTCAAGTCCTCTGAAACAGTCTCCTTTCCATAGCCTCTGGCTTCATCCAGCCTCACCCTTGGCGATCAGCACGTGCTGCAGACACGGGATCTGCAAGAAACGCAAAAGGTATCAAAGAAAAGGCTGGTTCCACGTGATATTGATGCCCAAGCATCTACCAAAGTCAACTTTCTGTTTTTTGCTTTGTGCTTGCTTAGGCAGGTCCTCAAGTTTGAAAGACCAAAAATCATGGCTAACACATGGACGTCAGCCAGCCTGAGCGGCCCTAGCACCTCCGCTAATACTCGCTGGCCTTCTTAGAGAGGCACCCCTTTTCTCTTTTGCACACCTTGGATTTTCTCTTTTTCCATTTCCCACTCTAATTCTCTCTGAGGTTCCCTGTTCCTTTCCCTTTCTTCTTCCTCGTTCCTCTATCAGTCTCTGGTGGACCTGCCCCATGGCTGGCAGCTCTGGGGCCAGAAAGTTGCCAGTTCTGGTTTTCCAGGCCCGCTTTGGAAGAGTGGCATCCCCTTGTGATCACGGACTACCTGCACCTGGATCCCCCAGAGAGCTGGGAAAACGCAGAACCCTGGGCCCACCTCCAATCTGCTGAAACAGGCTTGCTGAACTGGAAGCTACGCCTCCAACAAGTCTTCTGGATCAGTTTTTGCTCACTAAGGTTTGAGACCCTCTGCTCTGGAGACAAAGGCCCTGGAAAGTTTGATCTCTCATCTCTCTCTCTGCTTGCCCCATTAACCCTTCTCTAAAAAATGGAGAAGCTGAGCTGAAGGCACAGCATCGAGCTTTTCCTTCCCTTTTGTCTTCTGTCTAGACGTCTTTCTCCTCTACTGGATGGTGAATCCCTAAGGATGGGAGTCGTGTTCTACTCAACTCTGAAACCCCAAGGTTCCCATGATGTCTGGGTCACCATGGACACTTAGAAATGTTTGTTGAATGAATAAATTGTTGATGCCCTCCCTCCCCCCTCCCTTCTCTCCTCCTCCTCCCCTTTTCTGTTCCTCTTTCTCTTGGGATCCCCTTGGCCTTGGGCACAAAACCCAAATGTTTTAACAGATTGTTAATGTTTAAAGGGAGACAGGTGGGCACAAGCAGGGCAACGGCAGGTTGCTCAATGGACAAACAAATCCACCTTCTTCTGTTGTCTCCTAAGCCAACAGGAAGCAGCCAGAAGACGGTCAGACGGTCACTCACCCGGCAAGGGCTCGGGACTGCTGTCCTGCCTGCCCCACGCAGCAGTTGCATAACCTTGCTGCAACAATCTGAGCTATAAATAGTCTTTACTGAGAAGCCCCAATCTGGGATTGGACAGGCCCGAGGAGTGGCCTTTATTTGTTGCCCCTTTAAACCAGTGGAGAAAACCATTTTTTGAAAGTCTCACTTATAGACTCCAAGCCTGGGGCAAAGTATTCCATGTTCTCCTTTGAGTTCAGCCTGGGGTCTCATTCTGTAACTGCATTTAGAGTGTCCATGTGGCTCTTTCTCCTTCTCCTTACTGTGACAATGTGTGACCCAGCTCCACTGATGGAACGATGCAAATAAAGATAATGATGATCATTCTTCACTAGATCTTCTTTTCCCCCCATTTCTATCACTCCTCTTCTTGTCTAGTCTTTTATCTCTTGTGTATGGCCCCGTCAGAGCCTTGCCCGTTGATTGGTGACTCTCATCTCCATCTAGTCTGTAAGACCGATGCTCCTGAACACTTGGGTTTTTTTCATGTTTTTCCCCTGTTCAGTGTCTTTCAGTGGCTTCCCCTTACTTATAACAGCAGCCTACAATTCTCAAAGGGGCCTCCTGTTCTTAATGTCATGTGTTTTGTTTGTTTGTGTGTTTGAGACAGAGTCTTGCTCTGTCGCTCAGGCTGGAGTGCAGTGGAGCGATCTCGGCTCACTGCAACCTCTGCCTCCTAGATTCCAGCAATTCTCCTGCCCCAGCCTCTCAAGTAGCTGGGACTACAGGTACCCACCACCATGCCCAGCTAATTTTTGTATTTTTTAGTAAAGACAGGGTTTCAGTATATTGGCCAGGCTGGTCTTGAACTCCTGACCTGGTGATCCACCCGCTTCGGCCTCCCAAAGTGCTGTGATTACAGGCGTGAGCCACTGCACCCGGCCAATGTATGTATTTATTTATAAATTAAATATGTGTGCTACTGTCAGTTTATAGAAAATATTAGAAAAGCTTACTTTCATTGTTAATTTCTGACAAACCATAAATAGTAGTTCTAATACTTTCTCCCTGACAGCCAGTGGATCATTATGAATACCCCACAATGAATATCACTGAAGATAGCATTGAATCATTTTGCTGGGATATCAAAGGCTTCCAATATCTAGTTTCAGGTCATTTCTCCATTGTCTCAACATTTCTTAGAGATGACTATGGCCAGGCACAAGGCTAGGCTCAGGAGGTAACAATGAGTAGTTATCACCCCTGCATATCAGGAGCTCACAGACTGGTAGAGGAGATAAACTCATAAACAGGTAACTTTTGGAGAGTCCTATGTATCATCAGAAAAGTTTGCACAAGGCATGAAGAAAGAACAGTGGAAAGAAATGGCAGCCTGTGTGAATCCAGAAAGGCTTCACGGACGACTATTTGAGTGGGGTCTTGAAGCATGAGTATTTCACCAAGTCACAAAAAGGACAAAGGGCCTTCTGGGCACAGGCAAAGGCACAAAGGTAAAAGAAGAGCTTGGTACACCAGGGAAGGGAGAAGCTGTTCACAGAGGCTGATGGGGTCTGGAGGAGAGATCAGGACTGTAAAGGGAGGTTTAGACCAAATCATGGAGGACCGTATCTGCCATACCAATAAGACTGGCTTGAATCCTGAAGTTAGTGGGAGTCATGGATGTTGTGACAAACTACATTCTTTCCTAAATCTGACTTTTCCTAACCTCCCTGCAGGAGTAACAGACTATAAAGGAGGAAGAATAAAATCAGCATTTTCCCCAGGGCTCCCATGAAGCTGATAGTCTGGGCTGCTCAGGAGGCCCCACACCAAGGGCCACAGCCTCAAGACAGTAGGACATGCCCCTCCCCAAAGTCTAAGGGCAAGGTCAAGAGCATCCAGTGTTCGAACTAAAACTAAGAAAAACCCGCACCCCACGACTGGGACTAGTGGTCATGGAAAAGCTTTTCAAGGGTCACTAGAAGTTGACTTTGTGATGAGATGAAGACATATCTCTTGTACATTGTCAGGCATAAATCAACCCAAACTCTAGTAAAAGAACAAAGTTGCAAAATATAACACAATGACAGATGCCTGTAGTTTAATGAAACCAAGATTGGAGGGTAAGAATTTTTCATCTCTGGCTCGCCATAGTTTCAGAGTGGGAGACACGGCTATCCATCTTCTCTCTTTATCACACTTTTACTAAGAAATTGATGTTTATACAGTGTTCCCAGAGAAGCCATTTATCTTTTAAGTTCATTAGCATGTCCAATTCCCCTTCTAAAAAGCTTCACCTCAAAAATCTTCGTAGAAGGGTTTTCATTCATTTAATCAACCTTTATTATATGCCTAATGGTTGCCACGCACTGCTCCTAGCTAAGTTTTTGCTTCTAAAGTATTTCCCTTCATCTGTGAAGTAGTGCAGATGACCACTGTCTTCCTGATGGGGACTTGCAGTTTTGCCCAGAAGGGATGCTAGACAGACCCTGAGCTGTCTGCTCTGTCCGTCCTGTGAACAGGGCCAGGCATTTGTAAGCTCCTTGGGTCATGTTTGGAGGTGTGGTCTGTGTTGGAGGACTGGCGCCTTCCTCTGTGAGACAGAGTCGTCCTCTGTGCTGTGCTGAAACAGCAGCCTTGAGATTTTAGCCTAATGTGCTAACAAAATGAAATAATCATCCAGAAAGAAAATGTTAGACTGAATTAGAAATGATAGAGATCCTCGTCTTGACAGGGACAAGACTGTTAGAGATTATAAGAATGAAATTACAGGCCTGACGTGCAGCTGTGTAGGGATGGGGCCAGCAAGGTACTGACAACCTGGGCAACAGCAGGGTGTCATAGAAGATGGACTGGACAGCCGGGCACCGTGGCTCATTCCTGTAGTTCCAACACTTTGGGAGGCTGAAGCAGGTGGATCACGAGGTCAGGAGTTCCAGACCATCCTGACCAACACGATGAAACCCTGTCTCTACTAAAAATACAAAAATTAGCCGGGCGTGGTGGTGAGCGCCTGTAATCCCAGTTACTCAGGACGCTGAGGCAGGAGAATCGCTGGAACCCAGGAGGCAGAGGTTGCAGTGAGCTGAGATCAAGCCACTGCACTCCAGCCTGGGCAACAGAGCAAGATTCCATTTCAAAAAATAAATAAATAAATAAATAAGATGGACTGAACTCAAAGTCAGAGACTGGAGCACCAACCTCAGCTCTGAAAATCAGCCATCTCCTCGAAACGCTCATACCCTTTCTGTCTCTCCATATACCCTTCTGTCAAAGGAGGATACTAGGTGTTTCTAGCTAAGACCTTGATTCTAAAGTGTTGCATTTATTTCATCATATTTCCACACTTGTCAACAAAAGTAAGACGGATTAGGTCAGCACTTCCTCTTGTATGGGTATATCTGAAATCTAGCTGCTTTCGTTACTGTAGATAAGTGTTACTGACCTGCCATTTTTCTTTGGAATTCCTTTGGAAGGGAAGAGAAATAAATAAACATTCTTTGTTATCAGTTGTTCTCATTAAGAGCTTCATTCTGTGGCTCCTCTGATATCTTAAATTGAAGAGCGAGGCTGGGAAAAGGAGCAAGAGACATGCAAAGGGGAAGAGGGATCTCATGGGAGAGATGAGAAACCAGAAACATTGGTCCACCTCATCAGAAAAGTTGACTTTAGTGTCTTGAGTACATTGTTTAAATATCTGTCACCACAATTCCCCTGTTTGCAAATGGCAGTGATAATGCCAACTTATCTCATTAGGGTGTTATGGGAGGAATAATAACAGTTTAAACACACAGTCAACAAAGTACTGTCGGAATGCTCATTGTCACCGGTAACATGAATTGGTTTTTACATGGGCAGTAGTGACCCCCAAATGAAGATCCTTCTCCCTGAGAAGGAGGCCATGCAGGAGCTATGCCCAGGTAGCACTGCCCAGGTAGGCAAGATTGTCTGCCCATGGTTTCATTTCTATAAGGCCCCAATGAACCTCTTAGGAGTGACAACCAACCAAGCTGAGGCTGAAGGCTGGCCTCTAGTTTTAAGACTACTAAGCAATTCAGAGTAGATGCTGTTTTGCCCAGGAGGGATGCCAGGCAGACTCTGAGCCACCTCTGGATGATTGTTCATTTGGTTAGGCAAGGCAATGAAGAATTCAGTGAATGGCAAAATAGTCTAGGAGTACTCAAACAAGATGGCCCATGGACTGGGGTTCAGATAATTACATGAGTGGGGACCACAAGTCTGAAAAAACATGTATATGTATATTCCTTTCTATTTATGTATGATTCATATATTATGTATTTTAAATGTTTATTTAGATTTAGACTTATCACAACTGCTGACCCTACCTCCAGTCCTCACCTCTGATTTGCTCTGAGCAGAGGTTGGCAAACTATAACCTGCGTGCCAAATCCAGCCTGTGGCCTGTTTTTGTGTGACCCAAGAGCTGAGAATTCGTTTTACATTTTTCAAGGGTTGTAAAACACACAGACAGGAATATGTAACAGAGGCCTGGCCTGATGCAGTGCAAAAAGCCTCAAATAATTTACTACCTGGACCTTTGCATAAAAGTTTGCCAACATCTAGCCTTGAGGACTTACTGGCCTCTTGTGTATGACATGATTTATGATTGCTTTCTCATTTCATCCTTACAGCCATCCTGGAAGAGGGGTAGGACAGCTGCTATTATGTCCAGTTTTAAGGTGAGGAAACAGAAGGCCAGAACAGTTACATAACTGCTCGAGGTCACATTCACAGTGGCAAGGCTGGGA